TATATGCATTAATAAAAGTAGTTAGCTGTAAGGTATGCATTTTTATTTCTGTGTTTCACAATTAACATTCGAGTAAAAAATTGACATTTCACAATATGCACTTAATATGACATGGACACTATGCATTAAGTTCAAAGACATTCTTAATGCTGTTCTTCGATAGACATGCCTTATTTCTGTTGTTTTATTCATATACATATATACAGCTATACTTTCATTTATAAGGAAATATTTGTTAAAATTAAAATTTAATTAATGCGCAAACAAGTCCAAAGATTGGGCACATTTTTAATCGTAACGTTTTAAGTCATCAGAGACGAAATGTAATGACAATAACATGAAAATGAATAACAAAAAACGAATTTGCTTTGTCAATTTGACGCCGATTGCTTCACGAGACGAATTTCAAAGATTTTGGACGAATTGGAATGCTAACAATTTGAATTATACTGACCCTTAAATGAAATCTAGTGGTGGCATTTCGCCATAATAAAGGCCCTAAAGTATGCACGAACGTGCATAATTATTCGTTACTGCTTTAGAAAACTTTGAATTGGTTCATTTGGAAGTTTATTATTATTGTTATTTTATTTGAGCGGAACAGCACGCACGATCCAGCCTTATTAAGTGAATGTAGTAAAACATGCGTGGCGTGCACTTGGGTTGTTTAGCACCGTGCGCATGGAGGGGAGGGAGATGATCCCTGAAGCCAGAGACACAAATGGCTAATTCCTGAAATTTTATTTCTCTCAAAACAGACATCAAGAAGAAAGAAGAAATACCTGCAAAGAGAGAACGATCAATATTGGCATCCTACATGGGTTGGCTAGTTATTTCCAGTGAAAGTGCTTTCAAGGGAAATGTTCCGAACGGCCGTGCTGTTCGCAACGACCCAACTCATTGGTCGCGTCGCTGATGCGATGAGATCTCCCGAAATGCCGCGTTCCGCCTTGTATCATTGGCTGTTTCTTATGGACCTCTCCATTGGTCGGCCGGAATCGCTCCGTCTTCCATAGTGCCGCGCTTTGATCCCCCTTGGTGACCTTGGAGTTTGCTCGGAACGTAGTACCAGTTACAATTAATGAGCTCCGATTCGACGGGTACCTCTCGAAGGATAGGACCGTTTTTGCGCGCAAAGCATGTAAAATTGGTGGGACTAGTTGATCGCACTAAAAGTGTATAGAACTTCTTGAACGTTATTTTAATCTGCCAAGCTATACTGTAGACGCATTTAGTTCGACTTTTAAAGATGGTTCCCCGCGCTCTTCAAACAAAACAAAAATATTGCGTACTCCTAATGAATGTTCAATATGTATATGTTTAATTTCAAGAAATGAACAAAACATATTTTTCCTGATTTTTTTTTGCGTCTACAACCCTCTTAAAAAGGGGCCTTAATTTTGTGCACAAAATAATGAACCCCGCACTGCGAGAGCCGAATACTGTCTGGCAGCTATGAAATCGATTTTATTTTAAAAAAATATACAAGTAAGGCCAAAAAAAAAGTCTCCGGTTTCTGGTATGCGCGCGCGTCGTTACCCTCCCATATGATTTACAGGATCATGGCCAGAGCCATGCTCCCTACAAAATCGAGAGCATTCACAAAGAAAATTTGGTATAGCTCTATTCTCTGCACACATTTTTTTCAAGGGGGCACTGAAAATAAATGAACTGTGGCTTGCCTTTTTGTTTTTTGACTAATAAAGGCCTACCTGCATGTATATAAATTGATTATGAACGTAAATGCTATAGCTGTTATAATATTTAAACACAAACCACAGGGAGTAAAGCTCCCGCAAATCTTACCAATAAAAATTAAAACAACTGGATTTTTCTGTTGTTGTGCTTTCCGGATATATGTTTTTGTGTAGTCCGGTTTTTTTTTAGGAGTTAGGAACTCCTAAATACAACATAGTTTGCACTCCGGCGTTATAATAATGTCAAATTCCCGATGAGCATATACGCTGGAGCTACTCAAGCTATCTCTAACTAACGTTATATATTAGTTTTGTATGACTGAAACAGTGGATTTTGTTCTCAATATATGCCTATACTTGAAGCAGGGCCAGTAACTTCCTCGAATAGCACACTCCCAAGAATAAAGGCATAAATGAAATTATGAACAGCTACAAAAATCAGCTTATAAACTTATGTAGAACATACTCACAGGGAAGAAATTTCTTGCGAATACCCGCTCAGTAGTATATATGGCATTTACTGTTTCAAAACTTACAACACATCAACTACTATAATACTAACGGCGAAATCGATGTGTTCTTGAAATTCACAGTACATGCACTCGACTTTAATATACAACCATGCGTAATCATTGCGGATGTAGTTTGCCCAATAGTTTTGGCGTACACGTACGTAATAATACAGGTTCACTGTTAAAAATGCCCGTAAATTTCCGGACTCCGTAAAGTGAAATATTCCGTATTTTCGGCGTAATTTTATATTAATTATGCTAATAAGCGTGATTACAATTAACCAAATCGGCCCAAACACCTACACATAATATAGTACATCTAAGTACATATTGTTATTTCACCCACAACCGTGTACACATGTCCAAACTCATGTTCAGGGTCTGTTTATTTTACGGAATGAAAAAACTTTTCCGGAAATTTTGCTGCCAGCAAGAAAATAGCTATAATGACAGTCAGGGTGATACAAAAAGTGAAAGACGTACAGGGAAAGGGACATATGATTATAGTGGATTGCCATACCTTGTCACTATTCCTCCAAGGGCGGATCCAGGGGTTGCCAACGGAAGCCATGCCCCCCCCCCAAAAGAACCAATTATTTTTTTAAGGAACGTCGCAATAAAGGCAGGCACTGCGCATACCATCACCTTTCCTCAAAAAGATTTGGTTAAAGTGGTCAGAAATTGCCTCAGATCGCACCACAAAGCATCTACAATTCATACAATTTTTTGGGGACCTTAAGCGGGCCCTGAAACCCACGCCGTAATTTTTTGGACCCGCTTTTTGAGGGACCAATATTTTGTTTGGCCCCCAAAAATTGTGTTCTGGATCCGCCCTTGTATTCCTCCTTACTGACGGTGAGCGATAGATCGAGTGAAAAACAAAATTAATGTGTAAACAGGTTTTCGACGAATTACGATAATAGTTGGCAGGGGCTCCCCGACATTCCAACAGAAAGGGATGGGGCGGTAGAAATGGACAGATACTAATGTGTCGCACTTTATCCAGGTGTGTTATAATTGGTTCTAATTGGTTCTATTTGCAAATATCTTCCTTGGGTGCATTACAGAATTCACTATCCGTGAATTTCAATAAAAGTTGACTTCTTTTTCTTGACGGATTTTAAACTCACACTTTTTATTACAACGTAAAAATAATGTATTCATTTTTGCAGTATCTACAATCCTCTAAAAAAATACTTAAACTTTGGGTTGCTTTTCCGCACAGACAGATTTGTCCTGCGAATAGACTGGTTCCCAGTCCCTACACTATGTGCTCCGATCGAGGCGGGAACAAGATGTTTACCTAACTAAAATTATGTTAGTGTTGGGCAGTAAATAATTCGGAATTTGCAAAGTAATTTATTCCATATATTAACGGGGCGGATGTCTCATTCAAACGTGTTAACTCTTGCAATGATAAGTTAAATAGCAATAAAACAAATTTCTCGGGTGGGGGGACTCGAAAAATACCATGGCTAGTTCCGCCGCCCTCAGGTCGACTGCAATTGACTTACGCCGCGACGGAACCGTCGGCATCAAACACAAAAGTTATGCTCATGTCACAAAACTTAGTCAAGGGGCTAGACGTTGTTATGGTTTGATACGCGAGAACCCGCCGTCGCGATAACCGGCCGCCTCGAGAGGGCGCTATCACGACCAACCAATATTACCCACGAAACCGTCAGAACAACGTCTACTTTCTTGGTTGGGTTCTTAGTTGGTTCTTCTCCTAAATACTCCACGTGGGAGTTTATACAGGAGGCCAGAAACACCGGGCAAACCCCTTCTCTTAGCGATAAGTGTTTACTGGGTTCTTTTACGTGCATTTATACAACACAAGGCCAATTTCTATTGGTTGTGTAACGCGCGCGCACCTGTTTGGCCTAATAATATGCAGCGCGCAATTCAAAAAAATTCATAGTAGTTCCCGAAGCAAAACTCTCAAATTTCTTCCAGTAGTGTAGGCCTAAAAATGCAGCAGGACTTTTGTGCAACTTCACTGGTCAGCTCTTTTGTTGTGTGTAGTGTTTGTGGGACGGAAAATGAACAGTAATTGCCTGTAGAAGTCGTGCATGCGCACTAGTTTCCCCCATTTTTCGGGGGGAGATTTTAGGAAATGTCCTAGACGTTGTTCCGACGGGTTCGTGGGTGATATTGGTTGGTCGTGATAGCGCCCTCCCGCGGCGGCGGGCTTTCGCGGCGGCGGGTTTTCGCGTATCAAACCGTAACAACGTCTACAAAACTGAGAGATCGTGTGATGATCGTGGAACAAGCGGCATTTCGACACAGAATAATCGCAACCATGCTCAACGCACCCAGAACCCGAGAGCGATTCCGCGGCATACGTGTTCCCGACGGTCTTAGCTCGGGCGCCAACTGTTCATGTTCTGTGCAGTCGCAAGGTCAACCTGAGGGCGGTTTTAGAAAACATTGGACATTTGAAATATCCTTCTCCTTTTTATTCATTATAGCAGAAGCCCACACCCGGAATCCCCACACCTAATTATTATGTACCAATCTAATTCAGCGAACTTAATTCATAAAACCTCCCACAAACCCTTAATCTTGTGCAACAATGGAGACTTTTGAGACTCTCGGTGGCATCCGGTGCAGCAAACTTAAACACACCGGTCCTTTTCTATTGTTTGCGTCATATTGAACATGAGCAAATTAGCTTACACACGACGCAAGAATTATTGAAAAGGAACGGTGTGTTTGCTGCCACCAATCGTCTGCAAAGTCTCCCACTGCATTCAGCGTAGTATGCATGATAATTTACGTGTAATTATCCCTACTCAGCTTTTTTCGCTTCTCTGATTAGTTCATTCTGGACGTATCCAGCGTCGTCCTCGCTTATTAGAATTTCACTTCCTAAGCCAGTGAAAACTTGTTTGACAGTATCCTTGGTTGATGCGTAAATCATTTTTTGGGGTGCACTGAAACTGTCAAGGCACCTGCAATCAAGGGAAATGTGGTTGGAATTGTTACAATGAAACAAAGTACACCACCCATTCTCAAATTTGTATCCTTGTGGAGACATTTCTTTGTTCTCGTGTAGTAAAGTGTTCAATTTTGAAAGTGAAGTTTCAAAATGCTCTTATTTTAACCAGAATTAGTTTCCTTGGCTGAAATTTGGAATTAATATCCCTTTTCTAAAACTCTTCCATTTGCGACAGATCAACCCACCTTGGAAATTCCTAGTTTTTGAGTAAAACCCATATATCTATTTCGTGAAAACCTTGTGGAGACCTATTCATCTATAGAAATTGCCCTGTGGAGACCTTTACAATGTTTTGTTCCCTATTGTGTGTGTGTCTCCACAAGGATACGAATTTGTGGTCACCATCACAAATTACGGGTCACTTGGCACATTGTTGGACGCGGCGATTTCTTGTCAACATTGGAAGGAACGGGGACAGGCAGCATCGGAAATTCGAAGAGCGGGAGTGGAAGTGGGGGCGGGGGAGGTGGGGGTGGGGGTTGGACACCATCTGACTCTAGGGGTCGCCGTTCAAACATGTTGCATAACAAACAAAACTGCATAATAAAGCGTTTCACGACCGTCCCCGACAGCATACTGTTGCATTTTATGAGGACAGGGTGGCAGAAAAGTGATATCTTAGAAGTGAACAAGCTGCAAATGTATTGAAATCTACACGTCGGCCTTTACTGGGATAGTTTTGTTACCGGTACCTATCTTACCAAGTCAATTTCTTACTAAATTTGAAAAAGACAGAGAAACGTCTTCTCAAAATAAATTTATGTTAATGTAAACATTTCTAAAGCAACCCACCCCTCCCTTTTTAGCATCGCGCCTGATCCTGTGGGATAAATCAAAGCAGCACAATCCATCTACACTAAACGTGCAGGCGACCATGTTGTGTAACGTAACAGTTTTACTGTTTCCAGAGCCACCTGTTTAACTGTACATAGTGGCCCGTCCATAAAGGCACGAAATTCCGACTTTTTAGACCCCCCCTCCTGTACACATGGCATCATACACATTGGTTCCACCCCCACCCCCCCCCCCCCCCCACCCGTACAGGGTGATTCAAAAAGCGGAACCCAACCCAACCCAACCCCCCAAAAAAAAAAAAAAAAAAATATATATATATATATTTCATATTAAAAAAAACCATATGTGGCACCAAAAATAAGCCACTCATAAGCTACTTTTAGATGAAAAAAAATACTGAAATTGCTCAATCCGTTAAAAAAATATTACCATTTAAACACAATGACCCTAAAACCTCTTTCGTCCAAAAATGCGATTTCAAGAATCTTCGTCAAAATCAAACATCACTAGCGATAAATCCTTTAAAAAGGATTAAACAGTTAAGCATATTCAACAAAGTCCTTTTGAAGGCCCGTCTTTCAAAAAAAGTGGATTTTATAAATCTGTTGTTTGCCTAGTAAGCAGGGTTGTTAATGCAGATATTGTGTACTACAGTTGTTGACAGTAAGTTGTTGAAACAAGTATTCTTTGTCATTTTCTTTGTTGTTCCAAATGAACAGTCAGAACACACAATAAAGTGTTAATTTTTTTAAGCAACTGACTGGTTTTAGGGTCATTGCGTTTAAATAGTGATATTCTTTGAACGGAGTGAGCAATTTCAGTATTGTTTCATCTAAAAGTAGTTTCTGATATTGGCTTCCAGGTCATTATTGCTTTTGGTGCTACATGGTTTTTTTTTTTTAAATATGAAGTATAATTTTGGGGGTTTGGGTTCTGCTTTTTTTTTTTACTCACCCTGTATGTATACCCATTCGATGTACAATAATCATGTTTGTACATGTTTATGCACTTTACATTGTACATGTAGATTAGAATAAAGGAAGCATTACGAAATGCATGCTCGCCGGCTACTTGAAGCTATTTGTTTATTAGCGACATTTAAAACCAACAACTTGTCGTGAACAAATGTAGAGGGGCAGGGTTGAGATTTTGTGTGGGATATTTTCGAGTAAAACGATGATGAAGACGACAAATTGCAACACGAAAATGAAGATGGAGATGGCGATAACCGCGACGCACCGTGAATGTGCACAACCGCATTGATTCACATTGCATGAACTGTAAAATGCGTACGAATGATAGCATTTCTATCGAACGATACTGTCAAATAAAAAAATATATATTGTGTAAGAGATGTCAGCTTTGGGTTGCAGAAGTTGTTTTTGGAATAATGAAAAAAAATCGACTATAACCGAACTTAACCAAACCTAAAGAGGGACCCGTATACGTTTTATCATTTCGCGGTCTCTGAAGTTTAATGATCTCTAAAGGAATAGACTGGCGGTGGCACTGGGAAGAAATCGAAATGGTGGGCTGAAGGGTGTAGTGTTATAACAGTTTTCGATGCATAAAAGCTGACCCTGATACTGATATTAAATGTGAGGAAAATACATTGATTTTATGACAATTTACAAGCAAACTTTCGGTTTGCGTGCGTACGCATTGGCTTGGACCCCCTCCCCCTGTTCGCATGATGTACGCAACAGCCCCTCCCCCTTCGTGCTACGTACTTTATGGACGGCCCCATACATGAATGAATACTTCTGCATAAACGCCGTGTTCCAAGAAATTCGAATAACAAAGAGGCAACGACGAGGACGGAAGCTAAAGGCTGCATGGTTATTCCTATAGCCCCTGTCACACTTTTGCGTATCCTAATTCCTTATGAGTTCCTTATCAAAAAAATTCAATACGCAGCCGTACGCTCAATTAACGTCTAAATGTTTTGATCACTTTGACTTATGTGCGACGCACATCTAGCGTACAAGTAACGAATTCAGCGCATCCATTGCGTATGAGATGCGTATGAGTTGCGTATGCAGTGCACAACATTATTTTTCGGGCTGCGAATAGGTCAGTATACAGTGCGCATGCCTAGCGTATTCCGGACGCACCCGACTTATGCCGACCGCATGCTTGACGCACTTTTGAGCGTATTCCCGCCGCATTTCCGCCGCTCGCCGTTCAGCGTGCGTTGCATCTGCGCTGCAAGTACGCTATGTATACGTCCAATACAGGCGGCTCATATGCTGACGGGGTGCGTCACGAACACATAGCGTACTCGTAACGCACTCGACCGATGCGGGACCGATGCGCTGCGTATTTATAACTTATGACCTGCGTAACAGCGTACGCAGCGTAGTTTTGTGCATGCCCAAAACTATCCTGCGTACTGGGCCGTACCATGCGTATATCTGCGTAAAATAAAACATACACAAAACGATAGAGATGCATATGAGGTGCGTATTGTGCGTACGACTGCGTATGAAAAAAATGTCAATGCGCAACTCATAAGGAATTAGGATACGCAGAAGTGTGACAGGGCCCTTAGACACAAGGATTACAACTTTTACACCTAATACAAATGGAGAAAAACCTCACAATTGTAACGGCTTATGTGCCGATGACACGATGTGCTTCCAAAACTTAAAGAATACATGAAAAATTAAGCAAAACGGTGCCGAAAACGTTTTATAAAGCCAAGAAACAGGTGAATTTTACCAACCAGAAGAGGAAGACCAACTTGTCTGAACGTACGCCCAATTCCTGCGGAACATCGTAGAGGGCGTAGCGCGGTTCACCCGATTCCTTCAGGCTGGCGTACAACTCGGTGAAGCCTTGATCCCCCGTGGCCTTGGTGTCCAAAACCACAGACTTATTATCTTTGATCTTGAAGATGGCCCATCTGAATTCGCGACGTAACTTCATTTCCTGGAAGACGGTACCAACTTCGTCGTCAACTGTAATCTGAAGGAAACAAGCGGGAGACGTCGAAGAACAAAACCGAGATACAGACCACGGAAAGTGTTAAGAGGGGCAGATTGTAGAGCGCCGCTGCAAAGCGTAGATGAGAGGCACTCTTAAAGGCATAAGGATCATTTGCATTTATACCAAAATTGCATACTGTATGTCTTGGACTTAGCACTTATTAGTTTTGTAATTTGTATATTTACTCATTGTATAGCGTCATGAGCGTCACTGGGTGATGGACCTGTTGCGCTTAATTAGATGCCACTATTTTTATTATTATTGAAGTTAATCTGCTGAAGAGCAGCCACAAACGGATATTAATCCATATTAATCAATCCAATTATTATCCAAAAGCTTACTTGGATCAAAGATCGTACTCGTACATGTACTAAACACGCCGTGAAAATATATTGTCTGGCTTGCTGTCATTAACAAGAAATTAAAAAAAAGGAAGAGATTTCAAACAATCAGTCAACTGACTGATTTTTGCAATAAAGAGTGCTATTGCCGAAATAGTGTTTCGTGACTAGAAGGTTGTGCATGGTTTTTCACTGTTTTTCCGAAAAGTGTAATATTCACTGAGCTGCAACTTCCGCAGATAAGGGTCTGACCATTCTTCTATGGAGTTTATATTTTGAAACGAACCAAAGCTGGTATAGGTCTATACTGGGGGGGGGGGGGGGGGGGGGTTGCTTCAAAATTTCGATTTTCCTTTCCGAACAAAACTTAAAGGAACGTTATATCCTGTAACAAATAAATGTTTGTTTGCATTTGCAGGCTTTTATACAGTGAAAATTTAGGGATGCACTCTCTCAGGAGGCCAATTATTGGAACCGCCTCTGATTGAGCTTACATGCATTTTCTTAGCACTAGGGTTGGAAGGGGAAAAACAAAACGCCATAACTTCAGCCCACCTTGACCGATCTTAACCAAACTTGGTACAAACAATGTTCATGAGAAGGTCTTTTAGATAGTATCATTAGTTGCCATGGAAGCAATCATAAAGGGCGCTAGAGGTCAACAAACTTTCTGATCATTAAAGTTCACTGTTCATCTTAAAAGACACCAAATGGTAACACAGCATCTAAATGATGATTATCTGACTTTATTTGAACTACATTTGTAAAGTCCTGGCAAATTGACAATTGAACATCATTTGAATGGTATATTCACCCCCATGCTGAACCCGGTTTCTACTGGCGATTGAGGTGGAAAGTGATACGTCAATCTTTCAGATGCGTGGACATGCATTTACCAATCTTGTGAAAACTTGACATGGTACATTTTCATTTACAATGTATATATCTTTTTAAAAAAAATCCTGAGTTGTCATGGAAACCGACATTAGAGATCATTATACTTGGAAGAATATAAATACACCTTTTTTTCCCAATAATAAGTAGTTAAAGTTTTTGAAGTTGTTATTGGCAGTTGATTAGCGGAAACTCAAACATCAAAACACGATTGTGGTTTAATAAAGCCTGGTGAGTTCAAATTTTGGAACCAGATTTCATCCAATAAGCCAAGCCGTGAAAATATTTTAGCTTTGTAAGATTTTGTCATTACAAAACTCAGCTTTTATTACTATTGACATAGATGGAAATATCCTTGGCATAAATTGGTGTATACAAAATTCAAATAATTATTCTGTCACAATAAAGTTTAGCAATTGTCTAGAAAACTTTCATTATCTGTCAAGAGAATTAACTACCAAGAGAGGGCGCTTTGCAAGTAAAACAAAAATGGCAGCCTCCATTGGCAAGCTGGTGTCAATATGATGGTGACATTTCAAGTGGTCATAGTTTGAGAAGTTTGAAAACCTTTGCACGTAAGGTTTCATTTTAATCAACAGTAGAATGTACAAGTTGCTGGGAAAGGTTTTAATGAGAAAATAACGTTTGCATGCCATTTGTGATCAGGTTTTTAGGAGAAGGTTGTTGATTTACGTTGAGTAGTCGATATACATGTCATGCATGTATAGGTCTATGTGGCAGCGTCAATGTGTAAACTGGTGTCCTATATAAGTGATCAAATGCATGTATTTTTGCATGTAAGGCCTTCTCTCATGTGAATTGTTTTCTATTCTATTGATGTCAAAATCACTATCTTCAATATCACGAGCTTAGTGTTACAGGTTCCTGTTATACATAACAATGCCCGGCTATTGTTCTTTTAACTGTGATTTGCCTGTGCATAAAAGAAATGGATGCTTCTCCAGAAAGCGAGAAATCGTTTAAGAGAAAAGGGAGCGATGTGATGGACACTGAAAGTCTCCCAATTAAGCGGAAACAGGTGTGTGTAGTTCACTTTCCCGAGTCCAAATGTAAATCATTTACTTTCTTACATCAAACAAAAGATCCACAAGCTCGGCTAGATAAATTGAAGGAAATACGTGAAAAAAATTGGCTCAGCCTTCATGTTCAAGCCACAGACTAAACAGACACATGTAAGCTTTTTAATGAATACACAGAACATCATGGTTACCATCGAGATTGCTACCAGAGATTCACAATGAATCTCAGCCGCCTACAGGCACCAAGTACCAATATGGCAACTCTATCTCGTGCTCGTACTTGCCGTCAACTCTCTGGTGATAGGGAAATAATTCTTTTAAGCCAGACTGCATATTTTGTAATAAAGAAGGGGGAAAGAAAATTAGAAGAGGTAGTATTTGGACGACAGAACGAACATCGAAATTTGAATGTGATGGATGGAAAAAATGTACAGATTGCTGAGACAAAGTCCGATGAAAAGCTTCTAAGACGAATCAGGGGATTCGATCTATTTGCTTGTGAGGCACAGTATCACAAAAGCTGTCGAATGTCATATCCTAAAGATCCACCTCACTGGAGAAGTACAAATGAGGAAGAAAAGGAAAAGCAAACAGAGCTAGAAAATATACATCAATAAGCCCTCTCAAAGGTCAGTCAAATAATTGACAAAGAAATCCTGCTTGATGGAAAGGTCATGAAACTCACTGACCTTAACAAGGAGTACATATCAAGTCTGAAGAACACCAAATTTCCAAATTCAAAGCACAGGGGCAAAAAACTCACTAACAAAGCTTGAGAAAAGTAAGGTGTACAAGGACAAATTGCGATTTTGTAAACTTGATCACAGGGAAAAGTTTCCTTCCTATCTTGTGTATAGTTCTGACATCAGTACCGAGTCAGCAGTAAGATGTGCTTACGAGCTCGGCTCGTCTAACTTGATAACAGAGACAGCAGATTACCTAAGGGGTGTAATTCATGATGCCTTCAAAAAGTCTAGCAGCCCTCCATGGCCTCCAACTGCCCCAAAACTGAGAGGCATGAATGATGTTATTCTAAGCCAACTTTACGACTTCCTGAGTCATGTGATCTCAGGGAAGTCAACAAGTCACTCTGAAAAGGTGCTCAGACTAGTCAATTCCATTGGCCAAGACCTTTGTAGAGCTGCAACAAACGGCAAGTGGAAGCTGTCAAAGCACATACTTGTTTGTATGACCCTACGGCACCTCTTCCGAAGTGCTCAACTCATAACACTCATACATACGTTTGGCCACTGTGAAAGCTATTCCTTCTCACTGGAGCTGGAAAGAGCCATAGCCAGTGCAGTACGCCAAACCTCAAACATCTTGTCAACAAGGATTATTCGTAATCCAGATTGTCCTTCCCTGTTTCACTCGGACTTTGATAACTTTGACCAACTGTTGAACAGCCTCACTGGAGGTGGTTCAATACATACGCCTCATGGAATCATGCTGCAAGAGGTAGAGGGACAACAGGGAAACATTGGTGGATCTCTCCCTGAAATACAAGTTGTTCCAAAGACAGGTCAGCGGTCTCTGAGGTTCTCTGAGTATGTTATCACAACATTCGATCTTGGTGTATGCATGAAGGCATGTCCTCTCATCTGGAACAAGCCGGAAAGATTCAAGAAGCACATTGTGTTGATTGGTACATTTCACTTGATTTGTGCCTATTGCAAGATGATTGGCAAGAAAATGGCTGGATCGGGCCCATACTGATGTACTTCTAGAATCTGGGCTGATGTCCTCTGGTTCACGGAGTACTAACTGGCAAGAATTATGTAAGAGCCATTCACTGTCACAAGACAATGCTTGAATGTCTTGAACGGCAGCTTTTGGAGCAGTTCTCATCACAGAGTAGCCAAGAGGCCTTAATGTCTGCAGTACCGAATCTCTGCAGTGAACTTGCTCAATGCTTGAACAAAGAAAGCCTAAGCCGCGTCATGGAAGATGCCGGCGTAAATGGCTATCTACAGGAGTACTTGCTCTATCGAGACAGATTTCGTAAGGGCAGCTTGGGCAAAACTGCCCAGTTCTGGATGTCCTACATAGATCACATATGGTTGGTTCTATTACTGATGCAAGCTGTGAAGACCAATGACTTCCATCTCTATGTGCACTGCTTCCATCTTATGCCAGACCTTTTTTTCAGCTTTGGTGGTCAAAATTATTCTCGATATCTGACCTATTTCAGTAGTCATATTTCCAACATTGAGACGTCTCACCCTGGAGCTACCTAATTGCTGTACTATATTGCATGTATGGTCAAGATGAGGGTAATGAGTTCATCCGAGTCAAAAGCCCTGACACCGATATCTTCTTCATTCTCTTGCATTATGCTCTTCATCTAGAGAAGGTGACTGTACACTTTGACACTGGCACAGGAAATAATAAACGACTTATCAATGTGACAGCAATCGCACGAAACTACACACAGCAACACTGTACAGCACTTCTGGCTCTTCATGCATTTAGTGGCTGTGACAGCACCGGCGCAATCAAGGGAATTGGAAAAATAAATCCCATCAAAACACTTGAGCGAAATCCCAAGTTTGGGCCCGTATTAGCAAGTTTGGGTGATAACTGGGATGTACCCAAGGAACTACTTGATAAACTGGAACAGTTGACATGTGCGATTTACAAAAAGCCTCGATCCAGCCGTGTCGACGAGCTCAGACACTTCATCATGAAAGAGAGGTGTGGCCCT